GCAAAGCGCTGCTGTCAAGGTAGATCTAACGGCTGCCAAGTATGGACGTAATGTATTCGACTATTGAGTGTTTTTTTTTAGAAAAAAAAAATACATAAATTATTAACGACAGGCGCCTTCGTAACCCGTGAAATCCCAACTAGAGCAAAAAAGATGATCAACCATTGCACTTGCGGTCCAACTGTTGAGACTGTAGGGACGATGGTTGTTGCATAGACATTATTTTTGAAACAAGCAGTGTAGCACCTAATTCTCGTGTTACAATAATTGATAAAATCGTTGATAATCTGCCATGATACGTATAATTACAAAAATGCACACTCGACTCTCTCTAAATATTCCCAAAAGGAATATTACAAATTTCCTTTCCTTAAGAAGGCAACTAACCAACGCCAATCAACATAAGGTCATTGAAGGAATCACGGCAAAGAAAAATTTGAATGAACCAATACAAAATTCAAAATCAAGACCTAAGAAAGTGAGTTCACGAATTTTAGGTATTGCCCATTCGCCAAAATTTGAAGAAACACAACCGAAACGACTTGGATGGATTGAACGATTCAAAAACATATTTGATGCCGAGAAAAATCGTGAAAATCGGGAAAAATTGTATGGATTACACTTACACTGCGCGAACTTGCAAGAAATTTTTAAAAAGAAAAAATGTCGACCTCTTCAATTTTAGATTAAAAGAATATAATACACCATACTGGAAAGACTTTGATGAATTGAGAAAGGAGGGAGAAAAACTATGGGAAGCTGAACCAGAGTTAGTCAGCGCCCAGGTAGGTAACTTTTAATCGTTTAGATATTCGAGCATAGAATTTGATTCTAAAATTACCTTTGAAATTATCCGCAGAAAGCATTGTACATGCCAAACATTAAGGCTCGTTCATTATCCAAGTCGACAATTGACACGACAGACTTGTTGGAAGGTTACACTACCTTAGTTGCCATATTTTTTAATCAATTTGGAGAGGTAAATAGTGGTTTTCAGATCGTAATCCGTGGTGACCGTTATTTATTAATCGACATCCATTACGAAATCTCTTTTCAGAATCATACTCAAACTTTTATAAAACCTTTCCTCGATGAATTCTCTGATCACGATAAGATACAGCTCATGAAGGTTTAAATTATATAACCACACGTACCTCTTTTTGTTACACGAACTGTTATTAAATTTCTTGCATTTATCAAGGACAGGTTAACATTGAAGTAAATTTCGCGAAATCTCTTATTCTGAAGCTCATGACTCCATATCTTAAAATTACAATTCCCGCGCATCTTCACGTATGTCTCCTCGTCATGTACACTCGGCAATGATATTCTGTCATATTAATTTTGTTGCTCACGAATTTCCAGAAAAACTATATCATTCTATTTCATAATGACCCTAACCTGCGCAAGGCTCTCAACATAAAAAATTCATATAGAGGATATGTGTTTTTGGTGGATTCCAATTGCAAATTAAGGTGGTCCGCTCACGGGAATGCCACGCCGAGAGAGGTGGAGACTATGTCAAGATTGGTTAAAATATTGGATGAACAAAATCAATCGACGGTCAAATAAGTCGGTTGGTCACGCACCGTTATTCTGATATATGAATGTATGGTCATTCAAGTAGTTTAAGCCAAGTTCCAATGGGTTCCTCATTGGATAGAGATCATGTGTCATGATATAAATAGAACCACAACAGAATCAATAAATGGTTATGAAACAAGTCAAAAATGGATTCCAGGATTCTTGTAATTCTGAACATTAGTTAACAATATATTTTTTGTTCATTTTTAATCAAGCCAATGCAAAAACAATTGTATCCAATAAAACAATTTTTACATTATGCAAACTTGTTCAAGAATTATTGTACTTTTATATTATTGTTTTTTTTCTTGGATTGAAATCTTATTTATAATTATTATAATTTAAAGAAGTTTTTTTTTTTTTATTAAATAATATAAAATAAAGAAAGATATACTGTATATACATTATATATATGTACTGTATATACTGCTTGTACAGTATATAGTAATATATACAGTATATAAATTAAGAATAAGATAACAATAGAATCATGAAATTTGAAATTTGAATAATAACAATAATAATAATAATAATAATAATAATAAGTAGAAATAATAAGATTTGTGTTAAATGTGTATTTTATAAAAAAAAAATATATGTAATTAAAAAAGCATTTTATTTTTATTTAAAGTCATGTATTTAGAAACTTTTTATTATCTGTTGTAAAAATAATGGTTAAAAAGATATCTAATTAGTATTTAAAAAAAAAAACTTTTCTTTTTTCCCCCCCCCCCCTTTGTTTATATGATATTTTGAAATAACAAAATTGAAAATGGTTTATTTAATCAATTCGTGTTTTTTTTTTTGTTTTTTTGTTTTTGTTTTATCATGGCGATTTGAGATTTTGTTTAAATCAAAAAAAGATTAATGGATTAAATTTTATTTGAAAGTATCAATCCATGTAAAAATTCTGCAATCGTATTTCTACCAGCTCCTTACTAACCTAAATTATCTAACTATACTGCATTATTTCATACCTTATTCTCTATACAACTCAGATTATATTGTTTGTTACAGATTTAAATTTTAATTATGTCGATTTTAAATATTGAATGGGCTAGTGATTTATACAGTATATTAAATGTTCCGTGTGTCTGATTTAGTGTTGCTGTATAACGAGTGATTATGTTGTTTAATAATTAATTAGAAAATAAAGTTTATTATAAGATACTGTATGTGGTTGGATGATAAATTCTAAATAATATACAAATATAGGTGATTTAGTGACTGTACTTTTTTTTTTTTTATACATTGATTGTAAACCTTGGATTCGTTTGCTGGTAATTTCAATTAATGCCATCTCTCATGAATATTCCACAGTTTCTTATTACCCCCTTCCAACATCCTTCTCCGAAAATCTTTAATCCGCTTAGTAAAGGTACTCGAAGTACGAGCACAGCCTTTTGGTCCACTTACAAACCACGTGGCATTTATCAACATCAACTTATCCGCAATGCCTTGTATCCCGGATTCTCTGAACTCATCCATCAAGCCTTCATCCATAGGCAAATAGCCCAACACATTGGTCGAAACCCACGTGTGCATACGTTTACTCTCGTTCAAATATTTTGTTAATATCCCAAATGCCTCGTGGTGTTTTGGACCTAAATCTCGGAATGTTGATGATTGTGCTTTGTGTGACTTCGATCCAATTAAAGGGTAATCGGTGGCCAAATATACACGCTCAATGCTGGTGCGTTCTTTGAGAGATTCTAGGTACTTGACCAGTCGACGTGCACATTTCGGCATCATTTTTGGATCACCTTGTTCCATACGCCAATGTATTCCCACATACGGTCGAATGAAATCCGAGACGTTGGCTGCTGATTGAACTAACTGTTTTGCATAAGGTATGGGCGGAACTTTTTGTGGGTCTTTAAATAACAATTTGGGCAACCTGTGTTCTAATAATAACACCTCTTTGGTGACGTTCAGTTGTTGGAGCATGAATTTTGTCACCGCTATGTCCATTTCCGACTGTGTCCATAGAAAATTTACACCCAGAAAGATTTTTTTGAATACAGTTTTATGATTTAACACGAATTTAAACTGCTTTAGGCATTCTTTTCCCTTTAATATTTTGGGATAGGGTTTTAGGTATTCGACTTTGAACGGAGTGTCACGTGGTTGAATCCAACTCCAGTAGGTTTCGGGCTTTCTCTTGCGATCGATGGTCCACTGCCGAAAATCCGATTGGGTGATCATGCGCACGTTGGGAAATCTATGGCGGAATTCTTCGACGTCAAAGTAGAAGCCGAATGGGTGTTTTCTACATGCTTGTATGCGAGAGTTACCTACGTTGGTAAGCACAAGAGTTCTGTTGAGACGTTCAGCAATTTGGGCAAATGACATGAAATGCATGTTTGCTTGCGATTCTTGTTCTGTAGGCTGTATTAATAGTCGTATAAAACCATGATGAAATTATTGCATCTCGATAAAGCGAAATGTAAAATAAAACAACATAGAATACACACGTGATAAGCAAACAAGAATCGACAATTTTCTTCACCACAATACCGTTTGTTGATTTTTTTATCATGTTCATCCGGTATTATTTCAGTGGTGTTTATGGATTTGATCGGGTTCGCGTTTGTATTTTCGGGTAGCATCTATAGAAATTTTTAAGAGATGCATTCAACTATTATTAACCCATTCTCGAGTACAAAGATTTTTAGAATTCGCAATCATTTTACGCACTGTAATTAGGATATTCAGCAATTAGCTGCTCCCTCTCCTACATTCAATTAATCGTACTTACAACATCTTGGTTATCCACAATATCATTTCTCGATACATAAGCAAAGTTTATTAATATGTTAACAATGATTAACGACACGAAGATGAATATATTAAGTCGTTTGAACCACAAATAGGCGTATAGATATTCCGTAGATTTTTTCTCATCCATATCTCTTGTTTAGAATGGAAAGATATGGGCCGAGTAAATGTGGATGAAATAAAGATAAAGAAGAGTATTCCTTTAGCCATGGTTTATATACTTATTCAAAAGATTACCGAATTAATGATATACTGTCGTTAATCTAATGTATGCACATATTATTACAAACAGGAGTAAACGATGGAAGAAAGGTAAAGTACGTTTCATTTTCGATTCTATATTAGTATAGGAATTTCATTATCATTATATGATCCTAATATGCACTATTCGATAGGTTCCTTTATAAGGTAAAAATTAATTAGTATCTGATGATGGTATACACGATTAATGACAAACAATTTGGGGACATTGAAAAACAGGAAAAATATTAATTATCCTGACTAATGCGTTACTATGTTTTACCTCTCTAAAATCCATGGCCAAGCTTTGTCCCAAGTAGGCATGTTAAGTAACGATTGGAACCGGTTCTTTTCGAATTAATAGTCGGTTTTTATACAGCATATGTTCATTTTTTACTTTTTTCAAACTATCACGTATATTGCAGCTAACCAATTCTCAAGATTAAATTGAATACATATTGTTTTATAATGGATGTGATGTTGGAACGTTTAAACTGCTAGTTAGGTCTCGATTTATGTGTGAACCTGAACCGGAAATTTGACATCCCTAGTCTCAAGTACACAGAATATTTATTTTATTTATTTACGATAAGTATGGTAGATTCAATAAAAAAATTACCGTAAATAAAAAATAAAAAAAAAACTCCAAATTATTTATATGATTTGGTAGCATAATATTTTATTATTAACCTTACATGCAATCATTCACCAATTTCACATTTATATACAATTTCATTGACTATTTGTATCATTTGTTCTTCAAATAAAGAAGTTTTATAAAAACTCTCATAATCATCCAAGTGATTTTTGAGAAATTTATCATCAATAGATACTATTATCAAGTAATTAGAAGTAATTCCAGCCTTCACAAGAATATATGCTGGACAATTTGTCACATGAAATAACTTGACCAATCTCCTTTTACTGATAGATAAAATTTTTTTATCCACAAGATTACATAATATTTTTGGTATAGGTGATCTCTTATTCTTCTGTTTATACTGACTTGTAAGTATTACAAGCAATAATAAAAATAGTTTTTGGAGATAATAAATCATTTTTAACATCCTCTCAAGTTTTAACTTAATTGACTTAAGTCTATCATATTGAGAGATCTATTCTTTGAAATAATTATCCAATGTTTTAATATTTGATATCAAATAGAACAGTAAAGATTTAAATGAAAATTTATTATTATCAATATAAAAAGATAATCAAATTTTAAAGTAAGGAAATTTTCTATTAAATTATTACTCATTAATTTCAAGAAAAAATTTTTTTAAAATATATATCTTATTTACTATAAATATTATATAAAAAAATTTAAATTTAAATTATTAAAAAAAATAATAATTATAATTTATATTAACCATTTTATTTTTTTTTTTACTTTTTATCAATTGAATAATCTCTTACTTTTTTTTTTCTTTTTTCTTTTTTCTTATTAATTAAGTAATCTTTTTTCCCTTTCTTTTTCCTTTTACAAATTGAATGATTTTTCTCTTCTCTTCATTCTTTCTTAGCAATTTAATAGCCACCTCTTCCTAAAATTAAAATTTAATTATTATATAATTACAAAAAATATTTTCAATAATAATAAAAAATTTTATTACCTGAATATTATTAACTTGTTTATTAATAGTAATTATATAATCATTATTATTTTTATTTATAATAGGATTATTTTCATTTAAAGAATTAAGTTTTTTTAATAACTAAAAATAAATTTTTTTACTTATAAGAACTATATATAATATATCAAGTTTCATAGTATTAATCTTTTCATTTTCAAGTATTATATTCATCAATTGAAGATAAAAGTCAATAGTAATCTAAGTAATCTTTCCACAAATTACTTTTTAAATAAGATTTATTAAATTTCTTATAATCTCTTTTTATCTTCTATTATTTCTATAATCATATTTTTTCAAAAAAAAACTAAAAATTAATATTTATTTGAATTTTTAATT